CTTAATAAAGTGTGGATTTGAAGTGGAAATCTACATTTTAACATTAGTGTGACGTCACATAAATAGTTTAATGAAAAAAGTACAAAATAAACAAATGAATAAGGAACGTACAACAAACCAAATATAATACAAATTTTGCGGATAAAACATGTGCTCTGTCACGTCATGTCGATAGGCAACTCGCCCGGTAACCCAAACATTTAAGCACCGTTGGTGTATGTCAACACTTCTCAATTATTTTTAATTTAAAAAAATATACATGCAATACAGAAGAGAATTGTTTTGCTAAAATTTGGCATCACGTGACCACAACATCACATTTGTAAGCAAACCTCACATGGTCTATGCACCATGAAAAATCTAAGGGAAATCTTAAAGAAACGTAGACTGATCTAGAAAAAGACATCTTCATCATTCTGTATACGTGCATATCGCATAATAAATAGGTTTTCCTGGTTACGTTAACACTTGTATCATTGAACATTCCCTGGAATGATCATTTAAATAATTCTAGATCGGCGTTGGGCTTCATTTTATTTCCGATTTCGAAATTTCGATTTTTAAAAATTTGTCTCATGTGAAGAGAGGGGCATTTAATTGAAAAAGCAAAAGTCATTTTTTTTTCTTCAAATTATTGCAATCGATGGTGAAAAGCTGAAACATTTCGGTCAGGTATTTTCTACCTGTTTTCAATGATTGAGTAGATTTTGTAAAGTAATTTTTACTCTTTAAAGGTGTACGCATATCCAAGCTATAAAATACCATTGCATTAGCGTATAGTGTCTACGAACGGACTGAATAAGAAAGACCATATTCACTGTTATACCAAATATGAAATGTATTGGTGTAAATTCGAAATAAGAATAAATAATTAGACCCAGCGACGTCCAGGAATGAAATGAAAGCATCATTGCTTGTAATTTGAATTATCGTAAAAGTAACCGAAAAACATATATTAAGCATAATTGTTGGTATGTTCATTCCTCAAAAAAAAAGGCAATTTACAAGCCTGATGAAGAAGTGGTAGGTTTCACTCCATTAGCGGAAGGGCTAATTGAGCTTTAGGTTAAAACCGTAAAAGAAACGGTTCGAAAATGCATTGTATTCAGGAGTTATATACAAAATAATTACTTAAAATCAAAACTAAATCTAAATCTCACACGGTTCTTGTTAAAGAACAATTGGAACTTTAAGAGAAAATCAGAACGTCTCACAACATTTCCCTAAATTGGCTTGTTACTTAAAGCTATACACACTGTCCGTACACAATGTTAAGTTGGGTAGTGACTATGGAATCCAAACACGTCGCATGGGGTTCGTCCTGCAAAAGAAAGGTTCGCGATTAGATTTTCAAGTGTCATGTATATTTTGTTGGAATTAACGCAACATTAACTTCATGACTGAAAGTTATGAGATTTCTGAATTAGGAAATTTGTAATGCGTCAATTCCCAGAAGTGCATACAATTAGTTTGCATTTTCTCTTTATTTCATGAAGTCTGCAGGGATCTATAGTGTATCCACCTTATAGTATCGAGCACTGGGAATAACCGAAATTTACGAAAGTGACACTTAAAAGGTTTTGGCCAATTGTCAACATCTCATATAATTATATTATCATTTCCCCCGAATCTCGTCTCATTATGGTTCTCTCAGTATAAGAGAGATTTTTTTTGTAAAAGTCATTCAGTGCGCTCATTAATCCTGGGCTATCAGTGGCGCACCCAGCGACCAGGAGTTTGCTTGGAAGGGGGAGGGGCTCACTTTTTTTCAATTTTTTTTTGAAGTTTAAAAATATTTTTAAAATGTTGCCCAATTTTTTGGCCGTTGTAAAAGTTTTTTTTTTTGGGGGGGGGGGGGGGGGTTTTGGACTATGACACCCCTATTACACTACTCGAAAATAGGCCGCATACATATCATTAAGGTCAAATCGTAGGACTAGAAAAATCATATACAAAAAAAAACAATTGACAGCCCCTTGGGTATGGGGCTCAAGCCTCCGGAGTGCCCTTTCACTTGGGTGCGCCACCGTGGTTTATAGAGAGGGCTCTTAAGTTAAACTGCTAACTTTGGAAGCCAAAAATACGTGAGGTATTTCAAACAAAATTGGTTACGTAGGCCTAGCCCTGCACCACAGCTACTGCCGCAGTATAAATTACAGGCACGTGTTTACAGTCCTCGTTTGGTTTGTGGACCTTTTCCCGACATTCACTGTACAATTTTGCAGAATCTTCGTTTCACAATGATGGGTGTAGTTAATGATTCGGTTAATAAACCGAAAATACCTCCTGCAGAATAGTTTGCCAACGAGTTTGGAACCATTATTGTTCTTTAGAATGAGCACAGTGTTAGTTAAAATTTATATCATTACCATAAAAGCGTGCTGAGGTATTAAACCGTCTATAGAAACTTGCATACTAGAAAATATTTGCGTACCTCAATGTTATGCTTTTGTTCAGGTTTCTTCATCGATATCCGATATGACAGTGACTATATGTATTTCGTTTGTGCAGGTTTCCTCGCCGATATCTGAAATGACAATGACAATATAGCACAGAATGTAATTTGGGTGCGTAAACAATTATAACATACAAAACAACTTAGCTCCTTTAACGATTTTGAGTTAAAGGGAATGTACAACATTTGCTTTTGAGGAAATTTTTGGAAATAAATTCATTTGGTGGATTAGTAAGTTATCTAGCAAATATTGTTAAAATGACTTGTTCCACGTTTTGGGCTTGTAGATGCTGGAAAAATCAAGAAAACCAATCATGTTTTTTTAGTCTGGTTCCCTGACCCCACTTAAGATAAAACGGAGCAATTTACAGACTTTGGGGAATTGTAAGGTCAAAGAATGCAGTCTACCAGGCTTGTACCCCTTTACAGGTGTGTAATCAATTGCAAAGGAAAGGCGCAATAACTAATTATGAAAAATTAGGAGCTTTTTTTTTTTTAAAAAGCCAGTTTTCTCCAACGCTGGTCGGCCGACCAGTGTTGAAAAAATCCAATTTTTTTTTAAATGACAGCACACCAGGCTCCACGATTTTACATGATGCTTTTGACTGTCATTCCCTAATAATCCAGTGAGGTATTTCGTGATAATTTGATCATTTCGTTTTATGATGTTTGCAAATGTTGTATCTTCCCTTTAATTGGTCTGCTTTTTATGTAAGAAATATCTTGGCTTTGTATAAACTATACATAGTTAGCGACCATCATTAACAAGACAGAGATAGAAGATCCGGGGCATCATTCCTGTATTATTACATTGGCCAATGCGCATATCAAAATGACATCTTTAGGAATTAACTAATGTCATGCAAGTTTGAAACCCAAAGTGTACTTATAGCAACTTAGAACAACGTTTAGTGCACTGATCCTGCTTCTGTGCATATAAAATCACTATTTGTGCAAGGATTTGGATATTGGCTTCAAAATCTTTACTTTATCATTGAGTAATTAAGAGTGTTCACGAGTACAAAATGACACAATTTACCTTGCGCGCACAGCCCTAATAACGAAACCAACGTTGGCAGTGAGCGACAGGCAAAGAAGGACGACAAGCCAAATCAGGGCATTCTGACAGCCATCTGGAGTGTCCTTCACGGTAGAATTCTCACCAAACGAATGCACCGTGACAGTTGGAATAGATCCATGCGATGTGAAATCTGCAATTACATTTTTAAAATTAGTTACAAACTGACTATAGTATTAAAGTGTATTTATTTCCTTTGATGGCTGCCTTTGTGTTTGATATTCAGTCGTCAAAAGTTTTCCATTTCCAATTGCTTTTTAATAAATGAAAGAAAGTAAAACTGCTGCAAACTGCTTACCGACTGGATGGACCTGAAATATATAAATCTTAAAATTAATGTGGCCTGACGTTGCGAACTTAGCAAGTTCTTCTTCAGAGGCTAAAACAGAAATGACAGAGGTACATACATTAACATGGGGGTGCACACAAACATGCAGGGCTGAAAGAAGAAACACAAAAGGAGGATTAGGTGTGAAAGGTGTGGAAAGATGCAGGGGAGGGTGGATGAGAGAACAAAGAAACAAAGGGAGATGGCAAACCACAAGGGGTCTTGTGTAAACAGGGGAGGGACCAGAAAGGGGAAGGATCAAAGGTCACAGGGAGTGGGAACGGACAAAAGAGTGTGAGAGTGAAGGGATGATGTGGGGGGGGGGGGGACACAGTATTGAGGTGGAAAGGGATGAAAGATGGGGGAAGATGGGTAAACACAAACAAGGAAGACCAGATGGATTATCTGTAACAGAAGACAATGGAGGAGGAAAAGGATTAATCATTTCCAAGTTGGATGTTGAGACCATGTGGTTGAATAGTTCGAAGACGATTCATCCACACTTTCTCTCTGCTGAGGCGAACTGAGTCCTTGCGATGGCCAAGAGATTCAATGCCCTGCAAAATCATATCAGAAATGGAGTGGTTAGGCAGGTTGAAGTGATGACCAACAAGCTTTTTAATAAAGGCGACTTTAAAGTTCAAGCCAAGACACTCTTTGAACAAGGCACATGTAGGTCAAACGAGACTTAAAAACTGATAAGGGTAAATTCGCTAAAAAGTGACAATAGTAAATGTATTAATTAATTTTGATAACTGCTTTGTGTTTGATATTCAGTTGCCTTGTCCAAAAAATTTTCACTGGCTTTGCATTAAAGGGGAATTTAAAAGTTCTTATCAAGACATGCTTTGATCAACGAGCAAAATTATTATTTGCTCGATCATAAAATTGCTCATAAAGTTCTTAAGCAAAGGTATTAAACCACCAAATAAAACATGTCACAGCGCTGATTTTACCATTTAAATAGAAGCACTGTTTGCTTTTTCATCTATGACCATGGTGCAATGAACTTAAAATTACTGGGTCTAGGACAGCCTGGCCTTTTTCCTTGTAGTTACCTCTTTCTAAAATATTCAGTTAATTTCTGATAATTTACATTTTAAAAGTGGGCATACTTGTTTTGAGACACCCTGTAGGACCTATTGAATAAGTCTAGAGCAATACATTCCATGCTCACGTGGTTTTTGCGGGGTATAGGGAGCTGTGGTGAAAGTCACCGTCACGTGGCTACCATTCCTGGCGCCCAGAGCCTCCCCGTATGCTTGACACCTATACATGTACACAGTACTCGCCATGATTGGGATTGATGCTGAAGTGGTGTAGGTGTTCACCGAATACTCACCTATAACACACACCAAAAAAGCAGAGCTGTTTATATTTTCACTGCAGCTGAGATAAAAAGCTAACCGCATAGGCCTCGCTTCCATGTTGTAAAGCAGCACGCCCCAACACTACTCACCCTGGTATTAAATAGTTTGTATATCTAACATTTTTGGATATGCCTGCACTGCAAAAACTGTAGTGTTTAGCTAACACCATTCGGTATCTATATAGGACAACACCAGTAAAATTTAACACCAGATGGTCCTATATAGATACCAACAGTGTAAATTTAACACTGCAGTTTTTGCAGTGTGGCTGTGGTTTACATCAATGTTTGTTTTGGATGCGGTGTCTGAGGGTAAAACATAATCTTCGCGGCATGAGCTACTAAAAAAAACACATTTTTTTTTGTTTTTCTACTTACAAATTGTACAATCTTATCCAGCCAATATGCAGTATCACATGTCTTATTTATATGAGCAAAATGGTAAGGGGATAATTATTTTTCTGAAGGCGTGGACATTATGATTTAGTGAACGTTAAAGAACGAAACACACGTTAGAACCAGCACCAAGTGCACGATATAAATCAAATACTTGCTAATTAATGTATCGAATCAGGATACAGGAAGCAGGTTTCAACTTTCAAACCCAGGCTTACGAGGTTGAAAATAAAGCGAATAATGGAGACAAGGTTGCTAATGCATGGACTTGCTAAGCACGAAATGTGTTACCAACATTTGGGTATATGTTGGCGGATGCCCCAATTTTGAGAGCTATCTTGGAGCGTGCTTGGAAATGTTTCAATTACAGACAATCTTGAGAAACTTTTCCCCTTAACTTAAAAATGTCCGTTAAGTAAGACCCTAACCTTGAAATCATACTTTCATATGTAGCAAACTAAAAAAGAGATCTTTCACCCTTTGACATAAAACAAATCATTACTTGCTAGAAAGATGCTCTTCCATTCAAAGACATGCTGCAAACATTTTCCTGACCGCTTATGTTATAAATTGGAACATTCCCATGTTTAGTACAGGGGAGTGGGGCACCCTCAGATTCAGTAACCCTGTACTTACTCGGTTTTACGGTGAACCTGTCGCTGATGAGTTGTGTGTCGCCATCACTATGCTCAAGCAGCCATCGGAGAGCCACGGCAGGCTTGGCATCCCGTACGATGCAGGTCAACCTCGGTTTCTTGATGTCGTTCGGCAACTCTGCCTCGCACGCAGTCTCAGAGATACGTTCAGTGCATTGAGTTACGTCTGGAAACGGCTCTTTGGGGGATACTACACAACATATCAACAAACATAGCTGGCAAAAATTTTGATACAAGTCTTCAGAGTGTCAACACAATTGTTCAAGAAATGACAACAACTGGTGACCTTGCTAGAAATGTTTGTTGCTTAAGATTCTAACCAGTGTTGTAGTGCTCGTACTATGACTCGTACTTGGTACTCGTTTTCGAGTACTACTCGAGTACTTTTTGTAGAGTACTCGTACTCGCACTCGAATGTCAAAGTACTCGTACTCGAAATGACGGTACTAACACTCGGGCAGCAAAATACTCGAGTCTTGCTTGACATGTCGAAATCGTACTCGATCATCAAGGTACTAAAACTCGAAAAGCAATAGTGCAGTACACGAAAAAATGCATGGCTTGACTTACTACGGCCTTAATTTATCGATGGCCTTACTTTATATTTTGCGAACCCCGGTTTCAGCTGCCTGTCTGGGTGCAGCCCCATTGCCACCTGCATAAATGGGGAAAGAGAAGAAGCCGAAGCCGGGCTTTGTAAAACTGCCCCTATTCTGGTGCCGTCGTCTGGTCCACGGCATAAACACAGACCGCCTAGAATTATGTCAGGGATTAAGCAGACTATACACGTACGTTACCACGAATTTGCCACTTTGCCCTTTGTGCCGTCCACGTTCGCTTGTCAAAAGTTGTCGGCCTGCGAAGAATTTGTGTCACGAAATGTGTCGTCTGTATCCACTGTCGTGCACTTTGGCGTTAACTTTCCTATCTGTATCTCAGCTGTGTAGTACATTGATTTGAGACTGCTGTTGAAGATTTTTAAAAAAATAACTTCAAATAATTAAAAAATGCTCAGTTACAAAGACGATCCCTTTTTCGTGTCACAAGTGATAAACAGTTCAGTCACATAACTTTCGGCTACAAGCACAATATACTCGTACCCGAAAAGACCTACGGAAATATAAGAACTCGAACTCGTACTCGGAAAACAAGTACTCGTACTCGGAATACAAGTACTCGTACTCGTACTCGGAAGTACAAGCACTTGTGCTCGGAGACCTATACTTGTGCTCGGAACATAAAGCTATTCTAAAGTACTCGGAAGTACAAGTAGGCCTACTCGTACTCGGCAACCTAAGTACTCGGCCGTACTCAGTTTTCGTATGAAAAATACTCGACTACAACACTGATTCTAACATAGACTCATCCACCAGTCGTTATTGGGGCAATCTATTATTAACCAACATGTATATCGTTTAACAATTTTATGTTCACAGAAAGGCCTTGGGAAAAATCCATTGAAAAAATAAGAACAAATGTTTCAGACTATTAGATTGTTTTACCAATAGTCCTATATGTGTGTGGGTTTTTTCAGAGAGTTTTTGTGTGCCTTTTTTTTTCATTTTAAAGGGGGCAATAAATACAAACGGTATACAAGAGCCGTCAAATCAATATGAAAAAAAATAAATTGAATTGAAATTAATTAAAATTAGTTCTGAGCACAGGCGCAGCTTTAATGTTCTCATAATTATTTCCCGCCCTTTTCAGAGAATTGTTCAAACTTTGGCCTCAAACCCCGAATGCGCGCTATTGGCTAAAAATTGATTATTTTCCAAAAAAAAATCCGTCCGTCAGACGGAAGCATTTAGGAAATTGGTTAAAAACTGCATCTATAACCGAGTCAAATGACCTGCAACATTACTTTTGTCCAGCTCATGAATACAGTTTGTTTTAATGGATATTTGCCCTGCTTTTCGGGCATAAGATAGAATACACCGGTGCTTATATAACGCAGTTCCAAATTAATGATCAATGCGCTTTACAAACAACAAAAAAACACAAGCAGATACATTGAAAAAGAAAATAGCAGAAAACAAAACAAAACAGAAACATAAGAGATAACATAAGAGATCAAGCAAACAAGTGTGTTTTGTGGAGGCTTCTGACAGCTAAAAACCACAAAAAATGCAGCAAATAGGGCTAAAAGAGATATAAAAAGTAGGAAAAATACTCAGGAATAACTCAAGGTAGGAATTAACCTTACCCTTGAAACAGGACTGATCATAGGTTGGAGGGAAACAAGCACCAGGCAAGGAATTCCAAAGAAATTCAAAAACTTATATACTGATCGTCAACCTACTCACCTTTGACACGCTTAGTCACCTGCCCATCAACTACCATTCTTAACTTCGGTTTGACCCTACAGTAGTAGGTCCCTTCATCTGAGTCAGTGACGTTCTCAATAACCAGAGAGAAGTTTCTGTTGATGTCATACACGCCCTCTGGGATGCCGTTTTGTGGAGCGACGTTCCCTAGGAAGTAGGAGATCAAGAGGTTTTCAGCTCGTACTCGGGGGAAGTACCAGTACATGGCGTCGATCTGACCCGGTGGGATTCGTCCGGATGCGACGGGAGGACAGGACACGATGCCAGGGTTGCCTCGCTCCATGAAGATGTTTCCATCCTCGATACTAGCTTGGATGAAACCACCAGCCACTTCAAGAACAAGCAAAGAAACAACAGAGTAATTAACCAATCAGCGTCTATTACATAGGGGAAAATTCCTAAAGTGCACGGGGAGAATTTCTATCTTTACAATTCCAGACCTATATGTAAATCTACTCTGTACTCTTAACTAGTAGGATAGTTTACTTTACCAGTTCACATAATAGTTGGTAAAATGGTTTTTAAATATAACATTACCATATAACCAAAAAGACCCAATACTTTGGTTGTAGCAAAATTGAATCTATTATCGATTAAGCGGCTGTTTATTAATAGAACCAGGGTTATAATAGGAATCGATTTTTATTTTTTATTTTTATTTACATGCAGATTTAATAATTGCAGCAAGTCGGTAGCCATTTTCAACAGTCTTATAAAGATTTGTAATGCCTTAATAAATCAATGTAATGGTTCTACGACTCTTTGGTGTTCAGGAGCGCTCATCAGGAAAGATTACCCTGAAGTTCTTTTTGTGCCATCTGTACGAGTCACAATGGATGAGTGATGTGTTGTACATAAGGCAAACTTTCAAGTAAGCAATTTGTCTTAACTCTGTCGGTACCCCATAGACAAACCCGTACCCCCTACCCCCCCCCCCCGCTGCCCTTTTTCACTTAAAAATACCGGAGGTCATAGAGCTGATGAGGGATTCTCGGTACAGGTCCGGCAAGAAGTTTTATAAACAGCAAAAACACCAAAATGTATCTCTATAACACTATAGTGGTCCTATACATCTTTAAGGCCCATGGGATCATTTGCGTTTATTCCAAAGCAACCTACCGAATTGTGAACAAACAGCTGGCTGAAATTAAAGATCGTACTGGTGCTAAACACCCCGTTAAATTATTTCGTCTGGCTCACTGAAACTACGACGGGTTATGTTTTGAAAATTCTTGTTTGGACTTTGAGTGGCGTCATTATTGGGAACGAAAAAAAAAATGCCTGTAAAGCAAATGATCCTATATAAAAAGTGCCTTTAATTTGACCGCTGGTCATGTGCAGGTATAGTTGTCCTATAACGGGTCCTTTGGGGACGCCAACCTCCGGTGTTGAATCTGGTCTTGCATGCAAGTTAACACCACAAAAATATTTTGTCGTGAACAAACAGCACAACCTGAAGTCCAACTCATCTCCTTGTAACAAATAGTGAGTCCACATGAATGAGGTGCACCCAAAGTCTGAAAAGCTGAAGAGAAAACTTCAAGGGTTTGTTACTTTTTGTCACTATTAAGGCCGCCGCACACGATAGCCACGTGTTGAGCAAAAAGTCATTCGAAACCCCCTTGCTCACAAAATAGCTCGGTAGCGCACGAAATATATTTTTTGCTGAGTTTTCCATAACGCGAAGCCTTGAGGCAAATATCACCCCTGTTTGGGTTTTTTTTGCCTCACGAGGCAAACAACTCCCCGTCTGCGGTTAATCTCAGTTTTGGCCAGATTATCCTTGTTTGTCGATTCCATGATTTTAAAAATGGGGACAAACGCCAGCAGGCGTTATAAGATATTGCAAACAAAATAATGAACTCACGTGCACAGAGCATATGCACTTTCATTGACTAGTTAATCTCTTTCGCTCAGCATGTAGCTCAAGCTTGTCCTCTAAAAAATAGTCGCTGACAAAGTCGCCGACACTTTCGACTAGACGGGGGCCGCCATCTTGAAGTTACGTTTTTTTTTACAAGAGTATGACTGTGCTTCCATTGGCTGTTGTTTTAGCTCAGCACGTATAGCTCAGGTTGACCAAACACGGTGAGTTTTTTCGCCTCGCGAGGCGAACAAAATAATAGGATAGATATTTGCATAACGGCCTCGAGGCAGAAAACTCAGCAAAAATTGACCGCAAACAGTGATATTTTGTGAGCTACGTGCTGAGCAAACGGCCTCGAATGACTTTTTGCTCAGCACGTATAGCTCTAGCGTGTGGCGGGTTTTACGTGCGCAAGTCGCGCACTGAGGATTGTGTTTAGCACGGAGTGCAAAACGGACACCCACACACGCATAATGTGAACACTGGCAATCGTGGGCCCCCTATTGTCCCTAATCCTCATTCCTTTGTTTGTACTCTTAACTTTTTAGTAACAACTCTCATTGGTTTTGTACACGAATTTCAATCGTGGACTATCGGTCAATCGTGGACGTTTTGTTTGTGCCCTAACCCTTTTGTCCTAGGTCCACGATTGCCGTTGTTTACATACTCCCACACACGCACGTTTGTTTATGGTGTAAATCGAGGATTTTCCATTGTTCCTCTTCCCTTTTACTTTGTACTCTAACTTTTTTTCCGCCAGCTCTCATTGGTTTTGTACACGTTTTCTAACCGAGGTCTCTAACGTCCTCAATTCGGTTCCTGTCCTCAATTCATCGATGATGTTGCACGTGTGTGTCCTCGATTTACACCATAAACAAACGCCCATTCCTTTTGGGTGCTTCCATTACTTAGTATTATCCATAGAGCCCTTAGGTATGAATGATCCTCATTGAGAGACATTCCAGCTGAAAGGGAATATGAAAAAAAGATGAATTAATTCGTGTCGGGAAAGAAAGATAAAAAAGATGACAAGAATATAGCTTTAACATGGAACTTCCAAGCTATTTTTAAACAGTTTAGGAAATATTATACCTCAACTTATAGGTCTTAGATCATCGTACGCCACTTGACTTCGACAAAACATCAGATGATACGGGAAAGGTTTTTTTGTTCTAAAAGAAAGATTCAGGCAATTTGATGCCACACGGTACAATAATTAATGTATTAACTTTAAAGCATCGACTTACCCATTCTGAAGACACTTTAAAACTTTGAATCCGTCTCTTATTTGGAAGTACAAACCTGGGAATCCTAAAAGGGTGAAACGACAATGTTGTAGTGTAAATTCATACTCATGATGTCCCTTATTAAAAAGGTAAAACACAACACTTGCTTTTGCTGTAATGTTTAAATGTGGACGGATTGGAGGTTAGTATTCTGCAGCAAATATTGTCACACTGACTAGTTCATGGACGCTTGGAGAACAAATGTTGTTCTTGTAGTCTGGTTGGTTCCTTAATCTCACGCCCAATAGAAAAAAGATAACTTTTTATGATTTCAGGGAATTGTAAGGTCAAGAAGGCAGACTAGCTTATAACAATTTGGTAGTTTTGTTTTTAACGTTTGCAGATGTTGTACATTACATTTAAATAATAGGGAAAAATTATTTATCACAATGACGTCATGACCAGTATAGCGTAAGTTTAACTGCGGTTAACTTCTCGGGGAACCTGGGGTGTATACATTTTTCAAGGGGGGGGGGGTGGGCACTGAATGCAAATAATATAAATTTGTCTCAATTATGGGGGGGTATTACCGGGAGCATGGACATCCCCTGGAGGCCGTGCCCCCATGCCCCGCCGTAGTTACGCCGCTGGTCATGACAATGAAGTAAAAGTGCAAAAAAAAAAGAAGCATACACAAAGAATTAATTGCATTCAATTCATACGAGCTATTCTCAAAGAAATGTTTTCTGATTTCATTTTGGCATTACGGTGTCTTGATCAGCAATGTAGAAATCGAGCAAAACAATCGTTAGTTTCAGTCATGCGCGTATTGGAGTTATTGGAACTATGATATCAATATTATGAGAATTACTTCATAAATTAACACGATATAACTATGTTTATTATTTTTTTAAATGGGGGAAATGTATATTATCCTTTGATACAAAATGCAAATATTTCTCTATGAGAGACTAGAATTCCCTCCAAATATTTTGTAGTGACCTCTTTGCCTTAAAAAGTAAAGCCTCGATTATGACGTCGGCATCTCGCCATTAAACCCAAAAGAAATAAAGTTAACGTGATTTTCAGAAAAGGGGGGAAAAGAAAATATAAAAATATGAAAATGTCCCCCACCCCCTCAACCGGTCTCGCTTTTCATCATAACGTCTACAAATGTCATGAACCTCCTACAGTTGCCGAAACAAATTGACGAATTTTTCTATGTAAATGTTTTTTTCATAATGTGGAAAATAAAATAAACCGCGTACTTTATGTTCTGTACAAATAATTTAATTTCTGTAGATTAAGTTAAATGCATATTAATTTTCGTCCCTGTTGTTATTATCGTTCGAGTGTACTTCGTGTAGTACACCTTTAAATAGTAAACAACTGAAGCCAAAAAATGAACCTTTGTACCCACGGTTCGTAGTTTTTCAACATGCGTGTAAATGTTGGCAAGAATCCAATGGATGCGTATAGACTTTATTTACGTCCTTGTACGTCATTTTATGACGTATGATAAACGCTTTTATCTTCCAGACTAATTCTTCCATCGTGAATTCCCAGGCTCATTGCACCATGGTGATGATAGACCATGAATTTATCAAGTATCATACTTTCTGACCCCACTTGTTTGCTTGATTGATAACGCAGGAGACCTAAAAGGTCCTAACGCTGCCAGCAGACTGCCATGCCACAAAGTTTATTGATCCGGTTTGGAAAACCCAGACACTGCACTGAGATGATGGCATAATGCATGCATGGCCTGGTACTGTTATTTCGCCGTGCACGGCATTTTATGTACAATATTCCAGCTCCTTGGTTTTCGTGTTGCAACAATTTTCCATATTTTTCTGCCAATGGCTTTTAGAATGATACCGTGGTCGCTGGTTGAACATGCTCTATAAAACGCCACACTGATTTCTTGTGATGTTGCATTTATTAAGTAAATGGCAACGAAAGTTATCATCAAAGCCTGTTCGGCATCCAGATGTGCTTTGGTTGTGCTTTCTTACAAGTGCAATTTTAATTGGTGCGAGCAAAAAAAAAGACATTGATCTTGATTGATGCTAATTGATGGCCCAATTGAACTGCTCCACAGTGGGCAGCTCAATGGTTTTCTGGAGTGCATCCCAGTCTCTGATTACAGTTTTATCAACATGATATATTCGAATTCTCAAAAAATATAATTTTTGGGATTTCATTTTCTGACATGGGGTCCATATATA